GCTTCAACCATCCTATGGTACATAAAAATTGCATCTTGATAATTCTTGGTTTTGGCAGCAGCCCCTATCAATTTGTTGAATGAAGAGATAGGTTGGGAGGGTTGCATTTGGAGCATCTGATAAAAGGAGATTAATGAATCATTAGTGTTGATTTTTTCAAGTGGGATTGGGGTTTGAATTTGTGTTATGTGCTCAGGTTTTGGATGGTTTCTGACTCTTGACGAAAGCTTACCTCTTTGGGCAGTTCTGGAAGCCATTTCTGATGCACACAGAATTGATCCCTGATTGTGAGGACGGAGTAGAAAAATTGATAAAGCTATTTCTTGCTCACCCGGGGATCGTCTTAAATTTTCCCATTCCACGTTTTCTAAATGAGTTCTCAACTTTTGGCGTTATGCACTCTTATTCCTATGACCTTTTTTGCACAAATCTTCTCAACCTTCCATATTAGTAACAAATTCCATCGACTCACTGGTGAACTGTAATGGGGCTGGGCAGTTTTCGGTCCTTGCTGTCTATGAATTTTCGATTTTGCTACCGGTACATCACCCCTTACATAAGGGGTGACATAATGCACAAGTGGCGCATCTTCATTGGAGGGGAGCCTCGACCCACATGTGGGGCCTCGGCACCCCTCCAATGAGGAGGTGCCACTTGTGCATTATGTTACCCCTTATGTAAGGGGTGATGTACAAGTAGCATAATTCTTTGAAAAATGGTAGACAAATAGGGATTTAGAGTCATCTAGATTGTATTTGTGATCCTACTGGGCATGAATAACATTTCTTAATGACGAAATGCTCCAAATTTGACCATTAAATTCACCGACTTCCCAAGCCGCTTTTGGTGGTCTACTTTGCATGGGCAAAAACGTGTGCCACATGAATCTTTGTCAAGTACTAATCTGGTTATTCATTACTTCCACCGTCTTCTAGATAATTATTTTTAATTATTCATTAAAAGTAAGTTAGATTTATTTGTAATTATTTATTTCACTAAATATAATTTTTAAGTCCATGCTCACGAAGGTGTCATCGTATCTTTTCTATCCTTATTATTATCACCATTTTTTAAATGACATTATATTTCACAATTGCTTTTTCGAAAGTAATATGTTAATATTCTTTTGAGATATTGAAATCGTAATATCGTGTTCTTAAGGAGCAAAAACACATTATTATTTAAAATAATAAATATATACGGATTTACTCTTCTAGAGTAAAAGTATAATTCATGTTAGATCGTATTTAATTATACTCTTCGTAAATAGTGTGCTACTTCATATTTAAAAAATTGATTAAAGAGCAAATATAAATACGCACAAATTACGGACAATAATTAGCCAAATTAAAGAGCAATTTTTTTAAAAAAAAAATTCTATACAAGCAAATTATTGCTTTCGTGCATAAATTGACTAAATTATTATTAATCATGAATATAGACATGCAAAAAGGGTCTTGGTAAGCATACAAATCAGAAAAAAAAAAATTAAATTAAATTAATTTATGCATATATCAAACAATCAGCCCGCTTCGTTATGAATCAAATGTATACAAAAGAATTCACATATCATCACATAAATTTCGATACATGTGATCGATGATTATTCTTTTAAAAAATTATTACCTTTTAACTTATTCACTTTGATTTTGAGATAATTGCGTGTTATAAAATAGAGAGAAAATTGAGAAGTAAATAGACTTTTGTGTGTTTCATTGAATTTATAGAGAAGAATTATAGTTGCGAAGGATATAATAGTCATAATAATTGGGGTATGATGATCATTCACTAATAAATATATAATT